CGGTGAGTGTGTTGCTTTGGTTTATATGTCAAGAGTTACTGCTAGTGGACAGTAAAAGCCCTTGATATTTGGCATACCAGTTGTTTTGAAATTTATATATTCAATAGAGTTTAATATCTATGTATCATCTATATTTGATATTTTCTATAAGTTATCCTGATTTCTTCAATATTAATCTCTTCAGATCATAACTTCTTTCTATTGTGTTCTTTCTTTTGCAGGTGATATGATGACCCTCCTAATGAAAAAGGACACTTTATCAGAAGAGTGTACACAGTTCTATATAGCAGAAACTGCGCTTGCTATAGACTCCATTCATAAACTAGGCTTTATTCATAGGTATGTCACACATAATTACTCTTCAATTACTTGATTTTCTTATGCAAATTTTGATAATTGTATTTTATGTAATTTTGCTTACTTTTCCCAGCTAAATTTGCATATATCAGAATATAGACACATAACTTTGTCTTATTTGAAACAGAATATTGAATGTGTCATATGTATATCTTTCCATTATTCTAACTAAAAAAAAAAAAATTAATTTCTTTTACAGAGATATCAAACCTGACAATCTCTTATTAGATGCCAGAGGACATATAAAGTTATCTGATTTTGGTTTATGCACAGGGCTGAAAAAGTCCCATCGTACAGAATTTTATAAAGATCTCAGCCAAGCCAAACCATCAGATTTCAGTAAGTTTTGGAAAGGATTGTTGCAAGTATGTCATTAAACATGATAGATACAAACAGTGGCATTTAGGTGATAGACCATGTCCAAGTTACCCTCTCTATTTTCGAGTCCAAAAACAGCATTGTATGGGGGTGAATAGTTAGAATTCATACCCTGCAATTTTAAGTCTCATGACAGACTCACATGCCCATTTTTCTTATTTTTTTCACACTGAGATTCTCTGTGTGTATTTCATACAGACTTTGGCATTATGAAGTAGATGAGTTTGTAGATACCCCCAGGAAAATATTGATAGTTATTTTATACCTAATAGGTTGATTTAGGTATCTTTGGAAAAAAAGTAAGGTGAGTCAGACATTGTAAAAGGGTTCAGTGACATATGTTACTGAAAGTTAAAGTAAATGAAAGAAGTGGAAAGTCATTATGTCCTTTGTAAACATCATTGTGATATGTCATTTATAGAATATCTCAGTCGTGATCATACTTGACCTTTCTTAACCTTTCCCAATCTCATGATCTCCTTCTTAATATTCATCCTCTTGTACTCTTATTCAAATATAACTCAATGCCTCTGGGTGGCATGGGTTTCGTGCCATTCTGAGAATACTGTCTTAACTTCACACTGTGGAATCTTGATGCTTTTGCAGGAATTAAATTTATATATAAATAAAAATAATAATAAGATAAATGAATAAATAAAAAATCTCCAAGACGACCTATTATAATAGATGTATGCATCAGAATCACAGACCAGGATTTTTTTGTTCATATATAGCATAAAAAAGCAGGTTGCGTGTATGTGGCCCACACTCCTACATTTACAGGGACAGTGGTATTTTAGCCAGCCCAGAGGCATAAGGTTTAGCTCTAAAATTCTATAGATTATCTGTGTCTGTCTCAGTCTCTTTCCTTTGATCACTTTATTTCTCTAACTTGAGCTCTGTCCTTACCCTATTCATTTTGAAAATATGTTGGTGTAGGTTGGCCCTAGATTTTATTTCCACTTTTACTCTTTTGTGGTCTGTTGTGGAGCTCCTTCCCTGATTCTCCCTCCATTTTGCTCTGTCAATGCCTGACCCTTTGACCTCAACCAATTTGAAATAGATATTAATGAGTTCTGCTTTGTACTCAATTAGTTGGTATGAAATAGATCCCCGGGTATTTTACCAGTGCTTGACATGTTGAATGTTAGTTTCTGGGTTGAATTTATCAATCAGTTTATTTACCTAATTTAAGTTTAGAGTTTTGAACCTGCTGTTATATGATTTTCTGATTATGATTAAGTGATTAGAAGCTAAGCTATGAATTATGGCTTTAATAAGTACATTTTCGTGTGTTTAATTTTTGCTCTTCCCTTTTTTTCCCCCCTTCACCCCTGCCTCTCCTCCTTGTCTTGTTCCCTTGCTTTATGTGTGTATGACCGTTTATTGCATTACGTTAAAAAAATATGTAAATGTAATGATTTTTTTTTTTTTTTTTTTTTTTTTTTTTTTTTTTTTTTGATATTTTTATTTTTCTTGAATGTTGATTGCTTGGCAATTTTTTTTTTTTTTTTATATTAATGCTGTATGAATGAAAAATGGCTATTGAATTCACAATTAATGCTTGCTGTGCTTCAAATCATGACTCGTGCATTCCCTCTCTTTCTCATTCTCTTTTCCCAAATCTTCCAATCTTCCGGTGCATGTTCTTTCTTTCATTATCTTGCTTGCATGTCATTCCTCTTCCTGCCTTTCTTTTTATCCCAATTCCTCATCCTGCCTTCCCCATGTAGCAACCTACTCCAATGTTCCAGCCTCCAATCCT